TGAGTGTTTTTATATCTTTCTGATCATCACAATCAGACACACACACCATTCATTTAAGGATGTATTTTTCCCATGACCTTGCAGACTCACTTCTCTGACATGGGGAGCTCATGGAAGGAAGTTCGTTAGAAGTTAAACATGAGGAAGTGCAATAAAGCCTATTTGCCTTGTAGGGGGAAAAAACAAGCCAAACAGCAAAGAATTATTATATGAAAAAAAAAAATTATTTGAGCCTCATATAAAAAACTTGCAGATAACCTATGATTCTGCATGGGCAGATGTCCTCCCTCCCGTGCATTATGTAATCAGAACCCTTTTGGACTTAAGCAAAATAATAATCATAAAAAAGCAAATGGAGTCTAATTTCCATGGAAACTTGGAAACAGATGTAACATTATTAGCAGTAAGCCTTTGTACTGTGAATGGAAAATTTTCTAGTTTACACAAATCTCATCTATTATTTTCTTTGCAGTGCAAACTTGGGCTAAATATTTTCTGTGATATTGAAGATGCAAATAGTCAGTTACTTTCTGTCCAGTACAACTGTGCACAAAACCCTCAGAAGCTGCAGTAAAATGCCTGATACGGTAGTAGAAAAGAATAGTAATTTGGGCTTCCTTTTTGCTTGTTCTCTTCAGAAAGTGAAAACAGCTTAGAAAACACCTCCAGTTCATGTGCAGTGTTACAGACTAATAGACACCCAGAGCACTGGTAGATGTGCCCAATGTTAATGGGAGCTTAACTAACTCTTAATATTAGATCAATTAGACACTAATTCCTGGTTTTCCATATACCATGAGAGAGAGCTTTCTAGCTCAGGAGCATGTATTCACAGATTAATTACTTACAGATAGCTTTCTCAGCTATAAGTAAAGTCCCAACAAAGTAGATTTACAAGTCCAAAACCATAGCAATAACTTGTGACCTGATAACTGCACCTCCATCTCACTATGTTCTCAAGACCAGAGCAACAATCAAGAAAATGTGTAGGAGTCCCACATCAAAAACAGCACCCAAAGCAGCTTTTACATGAACATTTTTGTCTTTACATTGTTACTGAAGCATTCTTTTCTGCATAGTCTAAAGAGAAGGGAAGAGAAAACATCTCTGTGTTTTATGATAATGCAGGACTCTTACTTGTTTGTAAACTCTCCTCTTGCTAAGCTGAACCTTGTCTTTGCCATGCATCTCAAGTGCAAATCAGTTACTCAGACTTGTTCTTCTTAAGATGGAGTTCTGCCCTGCTCAGCAAGTACTCATGTCCTTTAAGTGGGTCATTTGCCCATACATTACCAGACCAATTTCAACTTTAAGCTAAATGTGGCAGCAAAGTCTAGTCTAACACACGCTTAAAGAACAATAGAACTTTTGGTGAAAATTGATGTCCCTTTTTGTTTGCAGTGCAGCCAAATGCTTTATAAATTAGACCCTTCTGCCACTACAGAAATGTCCAGCATCTGATTTATCTATTGTTTTAGACATATCACTGTAGCAGATTTTTCAGTTGACTTGGTCAGTATTTGCATTAGAGGTGCCTATACTACTCATATTTTAGCTACGCTCATTTTACCTTCCCTGCAGATCTGTAAAACTATACCAGTCTTTGTGAAAATTAAGCTGGTATCATGGCACAGTAAGATAAACCAAACAATCTTTCAGTGTTACAGCTCCAAGGAAGTCCACTGTTGGAGCACGTAGGAGGATAAAAATGTACCAAAAGCACAGAGTTTGCATGACCATTTATATAATTAATGAAGTGACTTTTATCTTACAGGAGTTTCAGACCTCACTCTCTTGCTACTCTTCCCTCACTCAGCAGCAGGAATAATTGTGACATGACAGAAATTAACTTAGAACAATACAAGTCCTAGTTCTGAGCTGGGCTGCTCCAAGTATTTAGCCTACTATGGGAATGGTAACAAAAGTGGACTGCAAAACTTGCCTCTCTTAAAATCAGTTGTTCAATTAGTGTAGTGTTGGAGCTATGACAATTACATGGCAGCCCAGGGGATGCCTCTGCAAATCTGGTGTCTGACCTGTACTATTCACAAGTAGGAAGAGTCCAGTGCTCTAATCTAAAATAGTCTGGAACAGGCTGCCTGCATGCCCATGTACTCACCTACAGTATTTGGGTCTGCATGGTCATGCATGCCCCTTTTCATCCCTGGACATGCCCTCTACAACAAAGAATTTTTCTGCAGGAGATTCATGTGGATCTCAGATCCCTAGGGCTGAAATGTGGGTACAGTTTGGGACCATATTTGTGTAGATTTGTCTTTAACTGAGGTATCAAACACAGTGACAACATCAAACACCTGCTGAAGAATCTGTGCAAAGCAGCTGTCTGATAGAGGCTGAACTAGACTTGTCCTGGGTATCCTGGCTATATTTGAGAGTCATTGTTTAAGCAAGAGACTGCTTAATAAGGATTTGGTGTTTAACACAGATTTCATCATTGGCTGACTGACCGAGGCTTTCTCTTTACAAGTTCACATGCAATTCAAAATGTCATGTTGATTTTATACCTACCTGGCCAAGTGAGATTACAGAGCAAGTCAATCACCTTGCTTTTCAGATGTATTTCCCCTTTTACATCTTGAAAATTCTACTCACTCACTTGTAGATCATGCAAAGAAAGAGGAAGCAGCATGACTCAGCTCCACACTACAATGGCTGGAGCAGATCCAGACCTAGCAATCCTTTGGGCTTTCCTTACCAAAATACAAGTCTGCAGCTTGGATAAGGTAAAGCATCCACTGTTTGTGTAAGAAATGTTAGATGGGCAGCATGCCAGCTGCAGTCCTTCAGCAATGTTCTAGTTCTTTACATTGATGGAAAATTATCTTCTGAAGAGTTAGGAAGGGAACAAAAAAAGCCAAAGGGCTCTGATCTTAAACAGTGCCCACGGAAGACAAAATACTAAAGAAGAACAGCCTCATGAACTGTATTCTGTAGACACAAATCTACATTAAAATCTAGCGGTAGATAACAAATTAATTTAGCAACTTTCACATCATGCCATACTAGCAAATATTTTTGTATAATCTGTAAATTACAGAAGTCATAACAGAGGCATAGGAAAGCTACTGACTTTAAGAAGTCCAGGAACATTTAAGTAAGTTTCAAGAACCCTGAGTCCCAGTGTTCTGTTTGAACTGCTGGAAAATAGTAGTCTAAAAATTAGCTACTCTAAAAAGTCAGTGCATCTAGAAATTACTCCTGATCCTCTAGCATTTTGCTAACACCTGATCCATAGATGTTTTTCATAAAGAATATCCACATGGTGAGTTATTGCAGAGTAAATAATGCACTGTAAACACACTTCACTGTGCTCTGAGCAAAATTCAGCAAGAACTTCATTACAGTTCATTCCCTAAATGCACAGCAAAGTTTGATGGTTATCTCATAGCAATCTAACCTCAGAGATAAAAACCTCAATTCTAACCAGTTTCTTAGAACAATGTTGTACATTCTAGTCCATGCCCAGAAGATCTGGGCAATGGGATGGATCTGTCTTTTCAGGCACTGAATTCACAGGGGAAAATCATGTATCAGTCATTACTTATATAAATATGTGTAATACTAGTAATTAAAGTAATAAAGAGGCATGATCCAAGCTATTTCTCTGAAATGGCCCTCATCTTCCTACAGAGCAAACCAAAGTATTACTTACAAAAAGCAGTCCTCTGGACTGTGTACGCGAGGGGATGACTGAGCAGTATCAGGAAACTTGCATCGCACACTAGCCAACCTCACATTGCGTTACAGGATGAAAGGCCAGTAGGCTTCTGGTTCAATGTGCAGACTTTATGCTTAGCAAAGCTTAGCAGCTTTTTTCCTTATCCCTCCCCAGAATGTTTTGGGCATTGTCATATGATTGTACGACAAAACATGAAGTTATCCAAAACCAGTTAATGAAAAGTGAACGGAAACATCTATTTTAATTCCAAAGGAAAAACAACTCCTATGCTGGTTTTGTAAGTGAGCTGAAAACTTGGAGAGAAACCTAAAGCTAAAAAAAGCAAAGAACTCAAGAAGATTCATATTCTGGACTGTGGTTTCTGTTGCCTTAGCTCAAGGGAAAATATGTGCATGGGAAAAGGGCCTGCCTGGAGCCAGATTTTTTTCAACTCTGACTTTTCTAGTTGGCGTGGCTTTAAATCACAATGTTGCTATTCACATTACTTCTTCATAAACAAAAATATTCTTTATGGACCCTATGATAGTTGTTTACAATTGAAACAACCACTTGTACCTTGTTTTCTAGCCACCAGTATCTAGTTCAGCTCCTATGAACCCTGATAATGATCAGGCAATTTAAGAGGCATTCACAATGTTAGCTCTGAGTTTCACTGATTTGAAGTGTTAAATCACTTTCCCAGAAGAAAGTTCCTGAATTAATCCCGAAACAAAGAAGTGTCAGCTTTATCACCTACATTTGTATCTATAGGCAACTAAAGAAAACAACATCACACCTTAGAAAAACAGAAATCTTGTACGGCTTAATTTGGAAGAATCTTACTGTCATGTTATTATGGACTGCACTTAATACTGCAATGCACTTTTGCTTTTAGCCAGGACTAAACCAGAGTATAAATATAACAGAATTCCACACCAACCCTGTAAAGACCAGTCTACAGACAAACATGCCACAGGTAATTCAGTGAATTTGTAATTGTCTGTATAACACTGCAACAAGCATAATAAAATGTGATCATGCAGCCTAAACACTGTGCCAGACCTCAACAAGTATGGTTATTTTTCTAACTGCTGTACCAACTGAGCATAACCTAGGGACTACGATTCCCATTATACACTTGATTTGCCTTCTTCAATAATTAGATTTATCTTAAGAGTTAGCAAAAATATCTAATAGGGTCTTTTTTGAGATTCCTAAGACTTTTTAGAATGATACAGTAAGCTTTCACTGAATTTTAAAGCGAACTTCACCCCTTATCTAAAACTGCAATGAAATTATGCTGTAAATGAAAATTGGTTACCTGTGATCAATGACTGCTACATCGGAAGCTGGAATCCCCAGAAGAAAACAACTCTGTTCCAGTTCTTTCTTACGAATCTCTCCTTGATTGTAATAATTTCCTGAAAATAGCAAACACAGCAACACTGTCTAACTTAGTTTAGGTTAGCTTGGAAATAATTATTTCTTCCTTTCTCAAAGCATTCAGCATGAGCATCACACATTAAATAAAAGGGCATCATCTGAGGAACAGATACATTGCACGGAACAAACTCCATAGCTGTTACCTGAGTAACACCTGGCTTAGCTCAGGCAAAAAAAAATGCTGAGGCAAAGTTCTGCCCACCTTGACTACATTCCTCACATTTATGCACTTGAGTGTGGCTTGTGGCCATTCCTGAGCTTGCTTGGCAAGGACATCAGAAATTGCCATGTCTAATCAGATCAGTGGTCCACACGGTCCAGTATCCTCATCCTAAAACTGGCCAAAGTTAAATGCTTCTGCCAAAGACACAGGAGATCTTCCAAACAACAATTCTGGAATAACCTGCTTGGGAAATGGCTTCCAACAATTTGTTTGATTAGCAGATGTCTCAAGATTTTGATCTCTTCTGAGTTTTTTGTTTGGGCTTTTTGTTTTACTTGGGTATATGCCTAATCCACTTCCGAACATTTGTGAAACTTTTAGCAAAATTTAATATCTCTTTTGGTGAATTCCATAGGCTGGCCATGATTTATGGGGAAAGAAAGGAGTCTTCTAATATGCATATACAGGGACTAACTGCTTACACAGTATCTGAATGGAAGTCACCAATATACTACAAAACAATTGAGCAAGATCTTTTCATAAACACATGAGAAACTGCCTTTGCAGTGAGGTGAGTAAAAGTTGTCACCACTGGCAAATTTCCAGGTTGTCTCTGTGAAAGAGGCTAGTGGGATCTCAGTCCATTTTTTAAAAAACAACTACTCACAACAAATCAGTAATAATCTCCTTAGGAAGGGCCAAAGAGTCGTTGCTTCTCCTTCACTAACAGCCACGCTGCTATGAACGTCCTCCTGTGCTCTTAACAGCATCACCCCGCAGAGCCCAGCTGAACAGCCAGTCCAAAGTACTTGGAACAGAATTGCTGAGATAACACATGGAAAGCCTGTCCCACAGTCTATTCTTTAAAGGATTAAAGTTTATAGTATAGTCTGGGCCACTTCTAATGGGCTGCAGTTGTCACTTAACACTAGGACACTGCAATAGAATACAGTAATGGAACTAAAAGGATTTGAAGAAATGAGGAATTCCATCACAACAATCCCTGTTTTAAAGATTTTTCAGAAGTCTGCATCATTCACAGAGGAAATTCAGGCAGAAACTAATACGGCAATATTGCAAAAACTTACAGAATCAAAAAAAGATAGGAAACAATTTAGAGAAGGCATTTGAGAAAAGTTGTAACAGACTGAGACCAACAACCATCAGGGAAACAGGATTCATTATCTTAAAATACTGCCTCCCTTTTCACTGAATTATTTTCTTCTCATCTTGCCCTGACATTCCCTTATTCTTTCCTGGCATCTACCATGCGAAGTCCACGCCAGAGCTGTGATGGCCCCTGCCAGAATTTTGCCCTGCGCAAGGCAGTACTTGCAACCCAATTTTAACTTTGAAGCAATAAAATAAAAAAATACAGCTGAGTATTAATGTATGATTCAAGTCTGTAGTCAGCTGTCTTAAATTACACTAGAACTTTTTATTGTTGCGGGTGTGAGTCATCTAAATCTAGCATTTCTCTTGAGCAGTGTTGCAATCTGAGCCATCACTAGCAAGGTTTGTAAAATTTCCAAAGAGGGAAAGAATAACTAGAAAAAAAAAAAACTTTTTATGCAGACTGTGAGTGAATGGTTTTAGAAGCCTCTGACAATGATTATCTATGGATTTGCTGAGGAACACATCAGCTTGGTAGTCTGCAGCTTATAAAATCGCAAGTTCCAGCTTCAGTAAAATTTAAGTGTGCACCTTCACTAGATGGGTTACATGAGTACAGTGGGACTTTAGACTGATTGTTTGCAAGGCCACTAATGACACTGTTTTAAGATAACCTATCTTTTGCTGCAATGCAGTGTAACAGCTGACTGCAGGTGATGTTTTATCCAAACAGTACCACTGTTCTCAAAATACTTAACTTCCACTGAACTCGTAGGAACAGATCCATGTTCCACAGATTGAGAAATGTGTCAGGACACCAGGAAAATATAAATGCTAACAAATAAAAATGTGAAGCTATTGAGAGCAAAACCAGCTGAATAGCTGATGCTGCTGGACCTCATCCATGGAGCACTCACAATAGAGAGTCAGCTACTACAGAGCAAAGCACGTTTATACTGAATTATTATTTCAATCGAAGATTATTTAGTGTGTAAAAGAGTGATTTTTTTTCCCACAGTGCTCTAATTCTAATTAATTTTGAAGTTATTTTGATTGACATCTGAAGACTGCAAGTATGACAGTTCCTAAGCAATGATTTTGTCTCAGTGTTACAATTTGCAGAGTCTTTGATCAACTCACTTGTCATCATCAATCATACAGACAATGAGAGGATGAACATCTGAATCACCCAAAAGACTTGTAAGAAGCACAGAAAAATCTATTAGTTCAGTGAACATACTCTCCTGTATGGGCTGCTAGTTCCACTACAAAGACATGCAAGAGAGTACACAGAAGGCAGCGTCAAACATGCTTAATGTTTTATGTCACTGAATCAGGAGTAAAGAAAAAATAAATGTGAATAAAATAAACAGAAACACAACACTTCTTTGGAAAGCTGTCTAATAGCAGGAGTGTATTAGTTCCCAAAACTGAAATGGCAGAGTTGCATTTCAGTAATCTCTCCATAGCTGTGAAAAAGCCAAATGGGATCCACAGACCTTTGTCCCTCAGCAAAGACAACTGAAAGCTCTGCACTAAAATCTTGAATGGGAGGTACAGAGTGATCAATAAAGTCATTACACCACTGGACTTGAACAACAGCTTAATCCCCGCCTTCTCACCTAGATGGTCTGCTATGACAGAAAGCTTTGTAAACAAAGTTGTCAGTGAACTAGCTGCAGCTTTCAAAAACACAGAGGACCCTTTTTCCAAATGTAAGTAGCTATCAGTGTAAGATGTAAATGTTTGTAGCCTAAGATACTCTTCTCAAACATAAACCCCAGTATCTTTAGTTTTCACCACAGGCTCATGAATTCTGGTATAACAGTATGGTCTGAAAGACTGATTCAAAATAGATTATTTCTTATGCGCAAAACACTGAAGAATGTAATAACTGATTAGGTATCAGTTCTGCAGAAAAAAATATCTAGAGCTTTAGTAGATCACAAGAACACAAGACATGAGTGTCACATGCTGTGAAAAATTCTTGTCCTGCGTAAACAGTGGAACCTGTGAAAATCTTTCCATTCTATTCAGCCCCAGAAAGGCCTCAGCAGCAGTACTGCTTCCAGTTTTTGATCACTGCACTTCAAATAACATGTGAACCAACTGCTAGAGTCAAACGGAGAACAATGAGAACAATCAGAGGTTTAGAGAAAATGATCTATGAGGAAAGATTACAAGAAATAGGGTTGTTTAGTCTGGAGAAGATAAGACAGAAGAGGCAGATAAGTCTTAAAATATGTAAGAGGCTGCTACAAAGGGAAAAATAAACAAACAAGCTTAAATTACACCAATGATTCAGGAAAAACTGATTTGAAGAAAAGCTAATGCAGCACTGACACAGACCGCACAGGCTGAGGAACCTCCCTGGAGGTTTTGAAGAACAAACTTAACATTTGTCTGCAACAAATGAAGACACATTGACACTGCCTTCAGGTTGACTGATGGACAACACGACCACGGATTCCCTTCAGGCCTGTTTTTCCATGATTGGATTGTTATACAACTGTTATTTTTAGATGTGTTACAGCAGATGTATCATTATGACATTAAAAATGGGTCATCCAAGGAAGTCCTCTACAACAGAATTACAAGGAGATGACAAAAGGCTCTGCTAAGCAGCGCCTTTTTACAACTTACTGATGCTTCTGGATAGTTTGAAAGGACCTCAGTGGCGCAACAGGAGATGGGATTGTGAAACCTCTGCACAAGGTTCAGATACAGAGGGAGATTTTGCTGCTGATTGCAGCTGCTGAAACTCTGCAGAAACTAACATTTTGAGCAAAGCCGCCCATGCGCGGCAGCTCTCTGGGGAGCACGGAATATCACGACAGAGCACCATGACGCAGAACCACATCAAACCGCAGATGGACAGCACGGCACCCTTCTCTCATGCACGAGTATTTCACAGCAGTTGCCGCGCTGCCAAGGCAGCTCAGGCCCAGAGGGCCCGGAAGTTCAGCCCAGCAATGGCGTCATGTGTGGCATCACGGTGACATCACAGCTGAGTGGGGTCGCCCCGCGGTACAACCACCGCGCCGAGGCACTGACCGGGGCTTACGTCACAGCGCAAGGCCGTCCATGGGAAGACATCATGGCGTCACGGACGGGAAGCCCGGCCTCTAGGGGCGGCGGCGGCGGCGGCACCCGGGGTGGGTGGGTGCCCCGTCGTTCCCGGCGCGTTCCCCCCTCACCTGCGGAGCAGCACAGCACCGCGGCGCGGACGCCGGCCCGGCCCAAGCCGAGCAGCGTGGGGGCGAAGAACATCGCTTCGTCATCAGGGTGCGCCGTCACCAGCAACGCGCGGGCGCCAGCCGCCATTCCCCGTCCCCTTCCCCTCAGGGAGGCGCGAGCCCCGGCGGCCGCGTAACGGCGCCGCAGGCGGCGCGCGCCGTCGAGAAGCAGCGCGAGCACCAGCGCGAGCGCCGCCAGCCCCCAGCCCCACCGCCCCGCTGCCATGGCGACCGGCGGCCGCGCCGGCAGGGAACAAGAGGAGCGGCAGGAAGGTTCCGGGGCACGAAAGGGTCCCTCTCCCCCTCAGCCCTCCCCTCTCTTCCCCGCCCCGGGGCGGAGCCGCTCGGCCGCTGTCGCGGAAACGTGCCCCGGCTCTGCTTCTCCAGGGCTGCCCGGGGGGGGGGGGGGGGGCACACCGGGAGGCTTCCCGCCGCGCTACCCTCGCCAGGCCCGGCGGGGTTTGAACAGGGGCCGTTCCCGTGGGTAGAGCCGGCGTTCCCCGGGCCCTGCTGCACAGCGGGCTGACCCCGCTGGTACGTTGAAAAATAATATCCAATAGTGACAAAAGTTGAACTTCTCAGCATGCGGTACCTCTTATCCCTGCGCTGTGCTACTGCGGAAGAGACGCGGGTTAAGGGAATCCTCAAAAGCAGGGCAAGAGGAGCTTATCTTCAGGCGCGTTCTGCTATCTGAGTATCTGCTGGCTATCCCGAGTGCGGCTGCAAGGGAAAAAAACCCACGCTTGGATACGTCTTAGAAGTAATTTCAACCATTGGAGAAGGTTGCAGAGCAAAAGGAGACAGGAAGTAGTAAAATAAACATGAATAGGGCAATTGGATACGCGATGGTTTGGAAACTGCTTTTGAAGACAAGTGGGCAATGTGAAAGACGTGTTATTAAGTCAGCAATGGTGTAGTATGTTAGATGGGTAGGTTTAAATAATAAAATGGTGAAAACAATTCAGAGGAATTCGATATCTGAAGAGCAGCTAAGACCTCACAAGATGTATGCCTGACTTGACTTCACAAACTTTTATTTGAACACCTTTTAACTTCCCAGTGAATCAAGGTAGTCATCGGTATGTGTTGGGATTAAAGACTGCAAACACTTCAGCCTGGAGATGTCATGTCACCTTAATGTAGCACTTTTAACAGAGTGGAACTCTGATACCATAATAACTACATAGTTATTACAGGTGTTATAAGTATCTTGTTTGACACAGAGTGAGCCCCTGCTTTATTAGTCTGAATTGTGTGGTCATACATCCTGCAAATGTGGGATACAACTTCTCCTATGTAATGGAAATTGTAACAACGAGATAATTTATTCTTGCCAAATGGTGTAATTTTTCCCCCACTTGTAGTAAACCTGATAAGAGATTCATTTGTGATTTTAGCACAGCTGGAATTCCGTATTTGCAAATAAAACGCTCTGCAGAGTTGAAACACCTTACTGAAAAAGCTGGGAACAATTTCCATACTCTTCATCCGGGGGGGGGGGGGAAGGAATAAGAAGACATTTGAGATTTTAAACCTCCCTCACATTTTTCAGAAGTCATTCGTCGCTGGAGGCAGAGGCAGGACGTTAGTGGCAGCGCGGGGCTCCCCGGGGGCCGGGCGCCCTCCGGCCGATGCTCCGGGCGTGGGACGGCTTCCCCCCCCCGCTCGCCGGTTAACGGCGGCTGCCCCCCTCTCCGGGCCCGTTATCAGCAATTGTAAATTTATATCGATTCGCCCGCGATGCGGCTCTCCCGCGCTCCCACGCCCCCTCCGGTCCATAGCAGCGGCTGCCGGTGCCGCCGGGACACCCTCGCCTCATGGCGGCCGCCGCGCCCCCCCCCCCCCCCCCACCCGGAGCCCACTCAGCGGGGAGGGGGAGGGAACCCTTCCCCGCCGCACCGGCCAGCGGGTCCTGGAAGGAGCATAGCAGCCCCCTCTCCCCCCGCCGGGCCCTCCCGCTGTTTCTCACGGGGTGGCGCTGCCGAGGCGGCGCCAAGCACTGCTGTGGCGGGAGGAAGGGGCGAGCCCCCGCGGCCGGTAGAAACCCCCGAGCGACGGCGCCGCCGGTTAGTTCGGTAGCTGCCAGGACCTGGCGAGAGGGGGCGGAGCCCAGCGGGCCGGGGGAGGGGAGGCAAGATGGCGGTGGCGGTGGCGCTGAGGTTGAGGTGAGACGTCGCGACCGTCCAGCCCTGCCAGAACCTGCCGCCCGGGCCGCCCCAGCGCCGAGCTGTCGGTAAGGGCAGGGGGCCCGGCGGGGCGGCGCGGGGGGGCGGCGCGGCCCGGGGGGGCAGCGGGGCCTAGCGCCTCCGCTGTGAGGAGGAGGAGGAGGAGGAGGAGGGGGAGGAGGGGGAAGAGGCGGGGGCCCTGGTCATCCCTTCCTCCTCCCTCCTTACCGGGGAAAGAGCCGGTCTCGCCCCCGGGGGGAGGGCGCTGGAGACGAGGGGGGGGTCCTTGGGGGAGCCACCGGGGGCAGGGGGAGGTGGGCGGATCAGGTGTGGGCTGGGGCGGGGGGTGCCCGGTGCTCGCGGGTTTTGTTTTTTTTTGTTTTTTTTTTTCTCCATTTACGCTGTTTGTGAGTGGGAAGGTCCAGGGGTGGCCGTGAGGGATGGCCCTTGCAGGGAAGTTTATGGAGAAATCCCTGAGCATCGGTGTGTTGGGTGTTGGTTCCCTGTCCTGTAGGTAGGAGGAGTACAAGTTAAGGAAAAAAAATAAAAATAATAACAAAAAAAAAAAAGGGGCCAGTTCTTCAAAATCGGCTGCTTGGACGCTCGGCGAGGAGTGCGTTAGTTCCTGAAGATGTTCTGCTGTCAGAGCTCGCGTGTTGGAGGAGCATCGCGGCCGCCTGCTCCAGCCCCACGTTGAGGTTGTCAGTGGTGGGGAGTTGTTGCTGATGCTGACGCTGAATTATTCACATAGTACCTGTAAACATCCCCAGCTTCTGTCATCCCTGGGCTGCTGGAGGACTCAATGGAAGTGACTTTTTCTAGAATTATTCTGACTTGATGGTAAAGAACTTTGTACTTACTGATTTTTCTGTACTTAAAAAACTGGGTATCAAGTTGGTTGCAGTTAGACAAGATTCTGGATGGACACATGTACTGTTAGTGTTAGACAAGCTCAACTGAGTAAGTAGGTAGTCTGAACAATCTATTGTCCAAAACCTGTTTCTTCTTGTTTCACAGATATGATCTTAACAAGTGTATTACCTTTTCATAACTCAATATTGGTGTAGCCTAAGAATAATAAAAAAAAAGGACAGTTTATTAAAATAAGAAGGGGATGTCTAGTTCGGTATACTTGGTTTTGTGGCAACATTCTTTTATTTTTAGGTATATCGCACTATAGTTATGAACTTCTAGAGCTCAGCTGGGGATTTTTATCCTATGCAGTATGATTTGAGGGGAAAAAAAGTGGTGCTACTATAAAAAACATTACTATTGTGGTAAGTAGAATGGCCGTGGGCACAGTGTAAGTGCCTGAATAAGTGGACACATAGAATTGTGTCACTGCACATGAGAACCGTGCAGATCTGTTGCAATTTTGCACTGGAATTTTATTCTGCAGAATGTCGTTATTCCTGATTAACTAAACAATCTTGACATTGGAAAGGAAGTATGTAATATTTGAAGTGGATTTCTAGTTAGCTGAAGTCTAGTGGCTTGTGTTGGGGGATAAAGGATCTTCATGCTTATCCCAAGGATTCAAAAGTTCAGAGGAAACAAGGCAAATACAGTGACCCTTTTTGCGAAAGCATGGTTAATTTTTTCTTGACACAGCTTTTCTCTGTGATATAGTATAGGCTACTAAGGAAAAAAAAGTTCTGTTGTACTTTATGTGCAGTATAATTTCCCTGTTTGAAATATAATGTTTGATATTGGTCACTAAAATACCTAAACTTGTTACTGAAACATGGAAAAGCAGCATTTTGGAATCTTCTTTCTAAGTGTTATGCATTTTTTAATGTGTGGCGAGGATATTACAAGTGTTTTCTTCCACAAGTGTTACTTCTCTCTAGCTTATTAGTTATTGTACAATTCAATTAAAAGTAACTCTACAGATTGAAACTATATGCACAAAATCAGAGTATAAATTTTTCTACATTGTGCTGCTGACTTATTTTAAATACACTTTATGTCTTACAACTACTCAGTTGCTCTTTCTGGGCATACATGCTTTTCATTGTCATCTAAAGGGATCTAGAAAACTCTCAAAAACTGTGGTAAAAATAGGGACAGACTCTAAAGCTTCCTCTCAATTTCCCCCATCTAGTCCCCTTCCACAGTTCTTGTGGTTCTCTAACTGCATCTTCTAAGTTATTTAATTTCTCAGTTACAGCATGAGTGAGAGATGCTCACAGGGAAGGGAAGCTGACTGCTTCAACTGCTGTTAAATGCATAAAAGTAGCTGAAAAAAATTTGTATTATGTTCTTAATATTGGCATTTAACTTATTCTTTCAAAGCTTTCGGCCAAAGTTTTGGTGAAATGTTTTATTCCTCCTCTTTTAAGCTTGCCTATAAAATGGTTTAATGAAGGTGTTCTTACATGATCAGAAATACTATTTGGAGTTCTAGTGTGCATAGGTACGTAAGATTTTTAACAATTGTTTAAGCTGGAAGGGATCTGCTTCATGCAGGTGCACTTCAACACAGTACAATCTTGAGAAGAGACTAGCAACTAGACAGTGGTTTCATAATGCAAACAAACGTTTCCTGGATGCCAGTCTTGAACTCAAGTCATTTATGTTCTTTAGTCAAATCTGAATCAGTGTTTCAGATGACAAGCTATTAGTGGAACATGTTACCTTGTCTTTCTCTACTGTAAATGTTCCAGATAAAAATTCTGACCTCTGCAGGACTGCTGACTGTAAATATTTACTTTGTGCTATTTCTAATTTATGCAAATAGCCAGGAACATGCTGAATATATCTTCCATTTTAGTTTCTCTCTCCTTCAATGATTCTCCATCTAGTAATGAAGTTTTGTGATGTTCCCTTCCTCTTCCGTGCTAGTTCAGTGTTTATCCACCATCTGTTAAATGACTACCACAGTCTGGACCTACTGAAGCTTAAGTTTAGTGAGTTGGTGTGCATACAGAAAGCTCAATCTTACCTTGGAGCTATGTTTCTTTCCAGTATTGTAAGAGAGATTTCTATGTTCTTGAATAGCTTCACATCTAAACTACTCGTGTAGTGTTGCCACTCCCAGACTGATTTGATATTCAGGTTTTTTTTCTTCAGACTTAAGGAGGATGTTGGTCTATGTGGTTTTGAAGTCAGTGACTTCACCTGCTTATGATTACAAAGGGTATTGCAAAATTAAGATACTGTATTGGTACAGATGCATCAGCCATCTCTGAAAAATCCTACTGTTCGTAACTCTCAGCAGTAAAAAATTCAGGAATTAAATTTTTATGCAGACAGGTTATCTGAACAAACTGTTGACCAGGACTTAAAAATTCTGTGCATGTGACTAGTCTTAGGTAAAACTGAATATAAAAATACATTCACATAGATGGTGAGGGAAGGAACACCTATAAGTGAAAAAGGATGAGGTAAAGTGTAAAATCTGCTTAAAGTAATATGGTGTTTCTTTTAATACCTCCTCTTGTGCCATACATTCGCTTGTGCCTTATGCTGTGCTGCAGGGGAAGTGCATTTGGCTAATTCTCTTTGTAGTTCTCATGAAGCCAGAGGCACGCTGGTCCCATCGAGAGTTGAAAACAGCCACAGTCGCGTTCCCTGGCTGCGGGGCACAGGCCACACGCTCCACGTGGAATGTCTGCTGGGCCCTTGCTGGTTCCTGGGCACAACCTGGGGCTGCTTTGGAAAGCAGATGCTCTCCTAAATGGATTAAAATACATTCACGTTTCAAGGAAGATGTCTAACAAATGTGAATGTAGATCAACTAGGAAACCTACCGATTCCTGTCCTGTTTGTCAGTGTTAGAAGGTTAAGAGCATGTAAGTTCATTACAAGTTCAAGTGCTGTTTGGCAAACTAGGTAGGTATATTATTACAGTTTAGCTGTACTTTTCACCTCATTAATAGTAGTTTCGGGAAAAAGAAGGGGAATTAGATTAAATTAAAGAAAAATGTATATACTTGGTTATCCACTGTAGAGTTTTGTCTCAGGTTCATATTCTTCAACTCTTGTTCCTGTTCTTAAGCTATCTCAAATACTGTATTGAGAGAGAAGGGGTTTCTGGAAGGTGGGAATTCTCCCGTATAATCAGTGTAATTTCATGGTTTAGCTTGCTTGGAATGTTATTCCCAAAACGTTTATTAATAAATGCAGTCACTTACTGGTTCCATTATGGCCATTATTTGTATAGGTGCTGATGTTTCAATATGGTCTCAAAGATCAGACTTGTGCATATCTAGAACCTTGGAGCTCTATGTTTTGTTTTGTTTGTTTGTTTTTTGTTTTTTTTTTCACAGGTATAAGCACTT